TCATTTGTCAGATCTAAGTGTTTTTCTGTAGAGTCTTTAGGGTTTTTAATATATATAGGATCATATAATCTGCAAAGAGGGACAGTTTGACTTCATCTTTTCCAACGTAGATACCGTTTGTTTCTTTCTTTTGCCAGATTTCTCTGGCCAGTACCTCCAATATGATACTAAACAGAAGTGGAGAGAGTGGACATCCTTGTCTTCCTGGTCTTAAGAGAAAAGCTGGTAGCATTCAGAATGATATTGGTAGAAGTTTGGGCATATATGGCTTTTATCATTTTGAGATACTTTCCTTCTATACCTAATTTTCTGAGAGTCTTTCTCATTAAGTGACACTGGATTTTTTCCAATGCTTTTTCTGCATCTGTTGATGTAATACTATGGTTTTGGACCTTGATTTTGTCAATGTGGTATATCACATTTATTCACTTACATATGTTGAACCATCCTTACATTCCTGGGATGAGGCACACTCGATCGTGGTATATAATCTTTTTCATGTGTTGCTGTACTCTGTTCGCTGATACTTTGTTGAGTATTTTTTTGTCAATGTTCATCAAATATATTGGGCTATAGTTTTCTGTTTTTTGTTTTATCTTTGTCTCATTTTGGTATCAGGGTGATGCTGGCCTCATAGAATGAGTTTGGGAAATGGTCTTTCTTTTAAATATTTGGAATAATTTGAAGAGAATTAGTGTTAATTCTTCTTTAAATGTTTCATAGAATTCAGCAGTAAAGCTGTCCAATACATGGCTTTTCTTCACTGGGAGACTGTGAATACTGCTTCAATCTCTTTGCTTGTTCTTTGCCTGTTCAGGTTTTTTGTTTCTTCTTGGTTTAGTCTTCATAGTTAGCATGTGTCCAGAATTGTATCTATTTCCTCCAACATTTGAAATTTGTTGTTGTTTAGTTGTTTATAATGGTCTTTAATGATTCTTTGTATTTCTGTGGTATCAGCTCCTTTTTCATTTCTTGTTTTCGTTATTTGCACCTTCTTTCTTCTCTTTATAGTAAGCCTAGCTAATGCCCTGTCTATTTTGTTTATCTTTGCAAAAAAAATTTTTTGTTTCATTGATTTTTTGTATCACATTTTAGTTCTAAATTTTATTTAGTTCTTCTCTCATTTTAATTAATCATACTGTCTATTAATTTTGTATTGGATTGTCCTTGTTTTTCTAGTTCTTTGAGATGTAGCATTAGGTTGTTTATTTGAAATCTTTATATTCTTTACATATAAGCATATACTGCAATATACTTCCCTCTTAGTATTGCTTTATCAGCATCCCACAGGTTTTGATATGATGTGCCATTTTTTTCAAGGTTTCAATAATGTCTTTGATCTACTTAATTCCTTCTTGAACCCATAGGTTGTTCAGGAGCAGGTTGTTTAATTTCCATGTATTTGTTCAGTTTCCAGAGATTTGCTTGTTATTGATTTGTACTTCAAAACAGTTGCAGTCTGAATAGATATGGGAAATGATCACAATTTTTAAAAATTTGTTGAGACTTGATTTGTGACCTAACATGTTGTCTATCCTGGAGAATGTTCCATGTGCTGATGAGAAGAATGTATATTCTGTGGTCAAGATTTGCTTGTTATTGATTTGTACTCCAAAACAGTTGCAGTCTGAATAGATATGGGAAATGATCACAATTTTTAAAAATTTGTTGAGACTTGATTTGTGACCTAACATGTTGTCTATCCTGGAGAATGTTCCATGTGCTGATGAGAAGAATGTATATTCTGTGGTCATTAGAGGAAATGTTTGGTAGAATTTGCCAAGCCCAATTCTTCTAAAGTGAGTTTATAACCCATGTTTCTCTGTTGATTTGTTGGCTAAATGATCTGTGCAATGCTGAGAGAGGGGTACTCAGGTCCTCCACTATTGTTGCATTGGAGTTTATCTCTTTCTTTAGGTCTAATTGTGTTCACTATATATATCTTAGTGTTCTAGTATTGAGTGTATGTATATTTGTGATCGTTATGTCTTCTTTTCTTTTTTTAACAAATTTGTGTGTGTGTGTGTGTGGCAGCTGATCAGTTTGGAGCCTTATGTCTTCTTGCTGGATTGATTCCTTTATCATTATATGATGGTGTTCATTGTCTCTTTTTATGGTGTTTGGTTTAAAGTCTATTTTATCTCGTATTAGAATTGCTACTCCTGCTCATTTTTGGTTTCCGTTTGTGTGGTATATCTTTTTCCATCCCTTCACTATTACTCAATATGAGTCTTTACAGGTGACGTGTGCTTCCTGAAAACAGCACATCATTGGGTCTAGTTTTTTAATCCATTTGGCAAGTTGGTCTTTTAGTGGGGAATTCAACCCATTTAAATTTGTGGTTGTAATTCAAAGGTATTGTCTTACTTTTGGCAGTTTATCAATTTCATTAGGGTTTTAAAGTATCTTTTGCTCCTTTCTTCCCCTTTTACCGTTTGTCTTCAGTGTTCCTTGGTTTTTGAAGTGGCATGGTATAGTTTCTTTCTTTTTCTCAATTGCATATTTTTTCTACCAGTGGGTTTTATTCTTTCTTGTGTAATAGTTACTGTTTTTTGGATTCCAGATGCATGACTCCTTGAGGATTGCTTGTAGTGTGGGTCATGAGGTGGTGAACACCCACACTTTTTGTTTTTCTGGTAAATACACTACTTTTCCTTCATTTCTGAATGGTATCCTTGTTGGTTATAATACCTCTTGGCTGGCAGGTGTTTTCTCTTAGTATTTTATATATATCATCCCAGTCTTTTCTGGCCTGTATAGTTTCTGTTGATAAGTCTACTGTTAGTCTGAGGGGACTCCATTATAACTGACTTGAAGCTTTTCTCTCACTGTTTTTAGGATACATTCTTTGCCCTTGAATTTTGCCAGTTTGACCATAATGTGTCTTGTAGAGGACATTTTTAAATTGAATCTGTTTGGGGATCTTGAGCCTTGTGAATCTGAAAGTCCATGTCTCTCCCTACACTTGGTAAGTTTTCTGCTATTATTCTGTTTAATGGGTTTTCTATGCTTTTTCCTTTCTTCTCCACTTCCAGAACACCCATGATTTGGATGTTTGTGCACTTAAGCTTGTCTGATAGCTCTCTTAGACTTTATTCATTTTTTAAAATTCTTTTTTCTTTTTCTTTTGGTCCTTCTGGGTTATTTCAAAAAATTATTTTGAATTCTTCCAGTCTTCAAGATCAGAAATTATTTCTTCTGATTGCTCTATTCTGCTGCTTAAGCTCTTGGATGTGTTTTTTATTTCTCTGAATGAATCCTTTAGTTCCAGGAGTTCTGCTACATTCTTTGTAAAAGTGTTAATCTCTTCATAAATATCTTCCTTCATATTCTCTATTACTTTTCTCATTTCACTCTGTTGTCTATTTGAGTCTCCTTTTATTTCACTGATTTTCCTTAGGATTGTTGCATGGAAATACTTTTTTTTTTTTTCATTTCAAGTGTTTCATGCTCTATGGGGTCTAGTAGTTGAGTATTATAGCATTCCTTTGGTGGTGTCATATTTTCTTGTTCTAAAATATTTCTAGTATCTCTACATTGATGTCGGGTCATCTAGAAGAGCAATAGCTTCTTCTGTTATGCTGGAGTTGGAGTTGAGGAGACAGACTTCCTCCTGTATATGTGTTTTATATTGAGCATTGATTTGTGTGTTTTAGTATTGGTGCTGAGTAGATGCAGTTGTGTAGTCTCTGTGTGCATACCTTGCTTGTATTCACTGTTGTAGTTGCATGTGAGTGCCTCCATGATTTAGGCACTGGGGCCCTTAGTGATTCCTTGCTGAGGTTAGTGACACTGTGTTGGGTTGCTGAAGATGTGGTTGAGCTCTCAAGTTTTGGGGAGAAGCACCTGGGTGCCCTGTCACTCTTTGGCTAGTGTGGGTGACATTGGTGGGCTTTTTGGCCTCCTGGCTAGTGTCCTGTAACCCTGATGCGTGCACTAGGATGTACTAGAACACCTCAGTTTGAATGGGTGACCCTGGGTGGGCTAGTTGGCACCCCAGCTAGCAGCCTATTACACAGAGGTATACTGGAGCCTCTCAGTTTGAGTGCATGACTCTGCGTTGTGTTTCTCTTTCTTCTATCCTATAGTCAGAGACTTCTCCTGGTTCCTTGCTTCCCTGCATTGGGGCTGGGTTGGTGGTGGCTGAGAATTCTGTTCCTTAGTCTATTTGGCTATCCTGAGTTTCTGCACTCTCCGGGGGTTCTGTTTGTGTCTCTCCCTGGATCAAGGCATTCGTGTGAGCTGCACATGTACCTCCCACCCCCAGGCATACTACTGTGTGGGGAAGTGTAAATTGCCTTTTGTGTTTGGCCACTGGGTTGTGGGTCTGCACCCACTCACCTTTTCCACTCGGCTCTGCTGATGAACCTCCATGTGTCAGTGCAGTTAAGTAGTTGGCAGGCTGGCTGCATGGTATCTGTGGCTGTGGTGGCAATGGCAGTTGCTGTTGTGTCAGGACACTTTTGTGGTGCTAGCGTTGGAAAGCTGCCCTTGTGGCCATTGGTGGCTGTGGCAGTGGCTGTGGTAGACTACCCACATGGCAGCAGGATCTGCAGCAGCAGATGGGAATCCATGCAATAGTGCCCCACACTCTTGCCAGCTGTATGTGGGGACTGCTCTCACCTCCTGAGGTCCCCCACTCTGGACTTCACAAATGCAAACATAGACTTCCATTGAAATCCATAATCTATATATGAGATGTGTGAAAACTGAAGTGATGAAACAGCAATAATTGGGGACACCAGTGTCTAAGCTTGATAAGAAGAACAGATTCGGAAGGCTTGGCACCCAAGTACCAATGTGTCCAGTACATCAATTTGGGGACCACATTAGCAAATTCACTGACATTGACACTAAACTCATCCATGTTTATTAATTGGTCTGTCTGCTTGGAAACCAGAGTTTCCTCATTTTTAGATAAAAGAGACTCAAGTGATAATCATCATTCCCAGCTCCATGAATTGTCTATAACTCAGTTTATCTTTGTCTGTTTACTCCAGGGCACAACCGTATTTACATCACTGACATCTGTGCTGCATGATGAGAAAGAATTCCCCAACCCAAAGGTGTTTGACCCTGGCCACTTTCTGGATGAGAGTGGAAACTTTAAGAAAAGTGACTACTTTATGCCTTTCTCAGCAGGTAATAGAAATTCACTACCATTTCTATGGCAGGGAACAAGATAGCTTTTGGGGATGAGTTGGAACTCACATGGTGCCTCCTCTGGTGCTGGAAGAGTTTCTCTTTGTACATGATCAGGAGCAACAGTCCTAATACCCACACATTTTTCCTGCTCATAATACATCCTCATAGTTGGACCACATGAGTAAATCTCACAGGAGTTGACCCAGTTCTTCCAGATTCAGAAAGCTAGTATATGGGTTGATTGATTTCTGCCTGTTGATATAAAACTGAGGCACCCTAGAGCTCCTCTTATGAGGTGAAACTCTTGTAGACAGTCCTAACCAGCTATGAGACAGGTTTCCAACTCCACAACTTTGAGTGTCTTCTCCATAGTGTCCCTCAATGCCCAGATTGAGCTCTAAGGATACAAGTACCTTCGAGCTCAGAATGGCTTCTTAAGAGGCTCACTTCTGAGTTAGTAAGGCATATGAGTAAAGAGATCATTGAATTCCAATAGAACTAGTGCTGTGAGAGAGGGAAGCAAGGACTGCAGGGGGACGGAGGCTTCAGGGTTGCGGAGAAGCTGCCTACTTCATGCTCGCTCATATACCACAAAGAGGCATAAAATGGAGTAAGCAACATTCTAATAGCAGAAATGACATTTGAGCTGCCTCAAAGGGGTCAGAGAGAATGGAAAGAAGAGGATGCAGGACCTTTTTAAGGAGGTAATAAACCAC